CAAAAAAGAAATATTCAATGCCCGTACTATTTTTATAAGAGAAGTTTTTGGTTGTAGAAATAATTGTTTTGTTATATGAAACTTTTATGGAAGTTATTTGTCAAAACCTAACCGTGGATAATTTAAATAAAGTAGACCTTCAAGTTAAGTAGCAAAGACTACTACGATAGTTTGTAGACGTGTTATCTGTAGCGTTGTTTATTGAATACGAATAGTTGTATTGAAACAGTGTTAAGTTTATGCAATTTTGGCGAGTATTTGTTTTTGCGATTTTGGTTTAAACCATTCATTCGCTATTATCATCCTACTGTTCACGAAAATAAAAATAATAGACATGTATTTGTAATAAAATGTGACAATACTTCTTGTATATAGTTTATTTTATCACAATTATTTATGAAAATGGAAATTAAGATAGATATATTGGCCAGAGCTGTTCGTTCTCTCCGGTAAGCTTTGACCAGTGTAATGTCAATTTTCACAGATTTGAAGACAGAGTCCTCAGGTCCGTATAACACTGTACAGGAACAGGACATCCCGGATTCGCAGACATCTTCTTGGCAATCTGACACAAACAAAGCATGTATTAGCATTCACAGCAATTGATAGCATGTTTTCAATGAATAACCAAAAATTGATATTGACAGAAATATCAATGAGATCTGTTTGACGGCTATATAATGCCTATCCAACTTTTTGTCCATTAGTTTACCCTACTTTGTAATATAAATATTTATTTGTATGGCATAAATGTGCATCTATGTAAGATGCTGTCGTCTGATCAGTTTCCTCCGCGTCTAATTAATAATGAAGATAAAGTATTTGCTACTGTGTGGTCTTTACTTCACATCTTTTCACTGGCACTACTCTATGTGATGTGTCTTTATGAGTATAATATTTACTGAAGCCTTGTTTTCTGTAGTTTCCTTTTTGAGGCTAGTTGTCGAGGTGTCTGCAGATCGACCAGGTCAAGTAGATCTTACATACTTACCAGTGTCGCAGCTACTGTACCAAATAGTTGCCTGAATTTGCTGGTAACCTTCAGTCATAGCAATTATTTTGGCATAATAACTACAACATAAGATACTAATGCTATTCATACCGTACCACTCCTAAACAATTGTATAACACACAGTTCTTTGATTAAAGAGCATTAGTCTTTGATCCTGCTTACCACCAGACTCTGGGTACGTGACAGACAACAACAATTCGAGTCATGTTTTAGTTTGTGTCTCACAGCTACAATCGCATTACATCCAAAAAAAAGATTCAGATTCTTTATGAGCCGAAAGCCATACAGCTCATCCAAAAGTAAAGAAGACGTGAAATCCTACAGGATAAGACATACGATGAAATCAGTAACTTGCAAGAATATCACCACACATATATAATATAGTTGGACTATATAAACTGTAGTTAGTCTAAGAGAGAAAGTGATAATGCTATTATTTTGTAAGATGCTTAAATAAGAATAATAATTGCAAATAGCTAGGTATTTCATTATGTACGTCAGGTTTACCTTTGTCCCTTGTCGCAAAAAGAATCGTTCGCTAGTAGCCTATTGCTCGTCCAATCGCGCTACAACTGAATGAGTGAGAATGAATTGCAAGTATCTATAAAGTTATTGATGTACTTGTCAAAAGAGATTGTCTGACATTCGTAAAAAATGTTTGCTAACAAACATTAGAAAACAGATCAATCACCGATGACAAACACAAATGTCCAAACTGCATTTTCTTCCGCATTCATCAAAATAATATGACATTTGATCCCTGAGTATGGCGATCATTTTAGGTAGACGTTCCCGTGGTTTGATGGGCTGATATATGTTTGTTCACCAGAATGACAGGGTTGATTTTGACTTCTTAAAGTCAATATCCAGAACAAACAGATGTGTTGATGTTGTCAACACCGGGAGAGATTAGCGGCCGCGGAAGTTACAATTCCGCTAACCAATACAATAACAGTCATCTTCAAACAAAATTCATCTTCGTCTCGGGAAATAATTGCCACACTCAGGAAAGGAGTTTTGCCTGGGGAGATAATAAAGGAACAGAGATATGATGTAACGTCCCACTGGCTATATATATGACATCACATATTAGACAGGCCAAAAATCATTGATGAATGAAAATCAGATTTTCTTACTCTTGATGCGAATTGATGCGTGGTCGAGCGTACTTAATCCACCATTTGGAGTACACTACTCCGCCAAAGTGTTTCACTCTCGCTTTAGCTTCGACGCCGTCGAGCGAGGGATTCACAATGTAATCAGCGCATATCATGGCCAATGTAGCAGCGTTGCTCTGGCTCTCGATTATCACATCAGTAGTTTTGATGCAAAAGCAGCAATATTGTATTGGTATAAAGTATCTTGCAAATGTGTATTGTTACATTGTATATAAGTGTTACTGTAAATGTAAAGGTAGTATTTTAATGTACATCATATTATTGATTTTTATGGATTGGTAACATTAAGTGTGGATTGGTGAACATGTTTGATTAGTTGTCCAAAATTAAATTGTAACAATGTAACAATATGTAATAGCAAATTAAATTATACGTATTATTACAAATGAAGATATATACATATATTTTCAGTTTACAATAAATAATACATATGTATTTTGGTACCAAAATGTACATGTTTGAAATTTTAACTTACAGAGTGCATATTTAATGTTACACATATTTGCTACAAATACATCAAAACAGACGGCATTGTATTGATAACACTTTTAAAATAACCCATATACCAACGTCAATTCTAAAAGGAACACTATATTATGTTTTTAATATACCGAGACAGTCGCAGAGTAATACGATATCGACGTATCTCGTATATTCAGAGGAATACATGGTCTTCGATGTTTAAATCATATATAAAACATGCCGGTTAGTGTGGTAAACTTTTCGAAAGCTTTTAAACACAAGCTTACTACATTGCAAGGGGGCTTTAAAAGGCTGTCGATAAAGTTTGCGTTTTCAAAGAAATGGTTTAAGATAGCGTTGAAAACTAATCTATTGTACTTGATGAGAATAGAATATTACGGTATGAGGTCTTTGTTGATTTTTCTAGTTCTTTTCCCGATGTTCTTGATACGAAAATATTTATTTTAACGGTACATGCACCAATTGAAAGAACATTATGCCATCAAAGAATACACTACCACAATATATTCTTTTGACGACACTATCGCTACTGCTCCGGCACAGAAAAATATTCAGCATCATTAAGCGTTGTACAAACGTTAGCCACAAGTGGTGCTATTACATATGTAAGGGCCTGAATACTTTACAAATATGTTATTCAGAATCCAGTCTGTGGGTGTCCATGAAAACGGAGACGATATTTCCACCGTATTAAGGCATTATGTTGAAAACTTTGACCTCTTAACGAGCTGATTTACAAATGAGCCTCGCTCAAGATGACATGTCGGAACGTAATATGCATGTCAAACATTGACGTGTATATTACTACGGTAAAATAAGAATCAGAACAATGCGTTTTATCCTGTTTATTTTTCCATATATGAAGACATTTCACGGACCCTTTAAGTTATATCAAGCGATGTCAACCTGTCTAGTAGTATAAAGTAGCAAGAGTTTTAGTGCGGGGTAACAGACTTTCAGCGTTGCTTTTATGTGTTTGGTCCGATCTTTTCCGCTATGTTAGCTACACATAATAGCATTTACTGACCTGAACCCGTCTGTAATCAGTACAATGGTTTGTTTAGTGTGTAGTTACATGTATGGAGTACATATCAGGTCGCATTGTTCGGGAGTAATAACCCGTACGTATACCCCATAAATTGTTTAGGGGGTCGTAAAAGTGTCGATATTTTATTTTTTAGCCAGCGATACGTTCTTGTCACAGATAACAATGCCTTGATAAATCTATTTTTGATATGTATGTTTCGAGTCGTTATTTTTAGGTGTTATCTTTAAGTTTGTAGTCCAATCAAGTTTCACTTATATGGAATGTCTCTTTGTTAAGTTTTGTTGATGGATAGGGTTGCCATCAGCTAGTGTAATCGTTCTTAGTTTAAAAACGGTAAAACAGATTGTATTTCTGACATGTCATTGTCACTGACGCAAACTATTTGTCAAGCATTGCATACATTGGTATGTGTAAGAGATATTAGTCATCTAGGTACAGCAAAAGATATATTGTAAACATTGTCCTAGCGGTTCATTTGGGACCTGCTGTACCGTTAGCGAGATATTATGGCTGCACACCGACGGGGTTCTTAGTACTGCTAACACTGGAAAGTCATCAACAAAATTAATGGCCAGCACCTGTTATATACATCAGCACTTCAATTAATTATTCATGTTCGATCAAAGAAATATAACAATCTACGTCAATAGACGAATGCATGTATCAATTCATTCCATTAAACTTTCTTAATCCTATAGAATATATTTATAATTTAGGGCTGTATCCCTTCCAGCAATGAAATCAAGTTGTGATTAGTTGGATGGCCTTTCGTACCCCTTTGACATTTTCTATTTATTTTATAAATATTCTGTTTTAATGTATTTAATTCATTGTCAGCACACAAGTGACATGTTATGTGACTACTTTAAATATTGCGTTAGGTTTGAACTCCATTTACACGAAATTGAAAAGTTTTATGCCTAACTGCTTTCTATACGTTGACCTTACAACGGGTCACGTGCACACAGCTTCGTGCTCCAATAAAGCTGCTAGTGCTGAAAGCAAAAGGTCACATGCGCAATGACCCTGACACGTTTAGTATTTGGCAGATATAACTTACAGTAATTTACAAAAGACTATATTTAGCACAAAGTGGTTTCAGAATTGGGCGTACATTTACACGAACCCTCTGATCGCCATGTGTGTTCCCCCGAAAGAACGAGCTGGTGAATTAACGTCGCTTTCATCAAGAGGGATTCTGGGTACATATTGAATGTATGTTCGTGCATGAAATTGCTATCCTGAATAACTGTTTAGTTACACATTTGCTCTGTTACAGTTACGCGTCCTGTATCTGACCGTGTGGATAATGTGAAAGTGTGAACCGAAAATATAAAACCCTTTATCAGGAAACATTCAGCAGTTAAGGTAAGACAATCCATTTTCATCAACTTGTCTTATCTGTTGTTGGCATACAATCAATTTCCTTGGAATTCAGAAAAATATTTCAAATTTGATCTACCTAAAAATACCACAAATCGAATCTTTCTTTTTAGCTGGTATTTGTTGTGTTTTACTATTCATTAACAAGGATTCATATATGAAACTGTGCACGATAGCCGTAGATTATATTTACTATAGCAGATAGCGCAATTTATTTAAAATTTCCATTTCGAAAGAGCGTCCCTCATGATTATGACGTAATTTAAACGATGACATAAACTTCTCTGTTTCCACTTTAATTATAACCACTGTTCTTAATCAATAGCTCGTCATATTTTGAAAGTAATCAATATTACTAAGTAAAACAGATTCAAAGATGTAATAAATTATTACTATTGAGATAAACTTGTCAAATTAATAGCGATGATTACCGAGAAAGGAAAGTCAGAGATACAATATATCGATCCTGAACCACTGTTTGCTCTACGCTAGCTTTCATTCGGAAAGTCATAGTAATGTAATGCTTTATTTGAAATGGTCAACCAAAGATATCCCACGCAGATAAAGCATCGTTCTTGAGAAAATTACTCTAAATATAGGGTACGTCATGTTGGATGACATTTTTGGTTAAATCATGTCACCACGTTTTATGTATAATGGCACGATATTGTATTATACAGAATTTTCATTGCCTCCGGTATATTACACATGGTTCGTTCGACTTCCATACTCATACGTTGGCCACGCGACCCTTCCATGGTAACTGTACTTTAGGACTAGCTTGATGCAAGGTTTATCAAACACATATATTGGCACGTGTAATTATACATGAGCTATTTATAGACAACATCAGTCGATTTTGTCTTTCATCTCTATTATGACATCTGTAATGCTAGTTTATACCGTGTTTTGCCACACATATGCTGAATTTGTCTAGTGTTCCCTACCATAACTCGTTTATATTTACTATGACAACATAACATCAAATACGCCATATAGATTGCACATTTAGAGATACATTAAACATTTAATTACTCACTATCTATATTGCATCAGAAATGAAACAGAAATGGTAAAATTAGGCGAAATAAGTGCATCAAATAGAATGCTACTGTAACGATGGCCATGTTGATGTAACCAATCACATTGAAGATTAAACTGGCTATATTTAATTGACAATAAATAAATGAAAAAACAACACACCAATAAAAAAGGAATCACTAGACTCATTCGCATTTGATAACTAGAGAAATATTTAAGAATCCCGAGTTATTTATTCCACCATAATGCACGCACATAAGTTGATTATTTTTATTCTACCACGTCAAATGTAACTACTTGTAAAGTTTTGCTGTCTTATAAGGCAAATTAGACGCTGCTCTTTTGCACGTGCAAGATTTATCACTTGATCGTGTTGCTTCGTTTAAACTTAATCAATGTCGCGCCAACATTTCTCAGTGCGTAGGGTTGGGATTCCCGGATTGTGTTTACTTCTAAAATCATCATCATCGTACCGATATCAATCGGATTTTCTTGGAAGTGCCAGTGATACAACATCATACGATAGGCCNCATGACAACATAACATCAAATACGCCATATAGATTGCACATTTAGAGATACATTAAACATTTAATTACACACTATCTATATTGCATCAGAAATGAAACAGAAATGGTAAAATTAAGCGAAATAGGTGCATAAAATATAATGCTACTGTAACGATGGCCATGTTGATGTAACCAATCACATTGAAGATTATACTGGCTACATTTAATTGACAATAAATAAATGAAAAAACCAATACACCAATAAAAAAGGAAACACTAGACTCATTTAAGAATCCCGAGTTATATATTCCACCATAATGAAAGCACATAAGTTGTTAATTTTATTCTACCACGTCAAATGTAACTAATTGTAAAGTTTTGCTGTCTTATAAGGCGACATGACCTAGATAATTCGATATGCAAATTAGACGCTGTTCTTTTGCGCGTGCAAGACTTATCACTTGATCGTGTTGCTTCGTTTAAACTTGATCAATGTCGCGCCAACATTTCTCAGTGCGTAGGGTTGGGATTCCCAGATTGTGTTTACTTCTACAACCATCATCATCGTACCGATATCAACCAGATTTTCTTGGAAGTGCCAGTGATACAACATCATAAGATAGGCCTGACATGAGTTGGTATATTTAGTTGGTTGCCATGACGTGATGGAAAGTTGCTGACCGGCTGATCATGACGCGACCTTCACCTTCACCGACCTCACCGGACAGCTGTGTTTTGCAACCACTGTTCAGACCGATGCTACTTTTTGCAACATTATTCTTCACACACGGTATGTTTGAAAGCAAACGACGTTTTGCAGACCAGAAACAACTGAGCACGCGTGACGTCAGATACGATGTTTATTTCAATCAATCAAACATTGGCACGCTATCGACATCGTTCGTCAAAACTTGAAATCAACGCTTGATAGTACATACACACACTGCACACATCGTGAAATGTACGGCACTTCCCAGTGAAGTAAAAACAGAAGTAATTAATAATTTACCATTTTGTCTTCAGACCTGTACATTTTAAATGTCAATAATTAATAAACCATTTTCACTGCACGGACCCACATACTTTAGGTCTATAGATCCGTGTAATCTTTTAAATGGCAGGCCTGTCAAATATTTTGATCCCGCCTGACAGTTATTTTTGTTAATTCATGATAAAATACGGGGAGGTTGTTGGAACAGCATGCGTGTGCACAATTTCACGTGCATTGGTTATTGGCACGCGCATGGTATATCGCTCAAGAATGCACTCTTTTTAACCAATGAAAACCGTCGTTACATCACAGACGTGGTAGAATTATCGATAATATATTCTTGTTGTGACGATCTATTTATGTATTTATTTATCTATTTATTTATTAAATTTCTTAGCTCTCAATGGGACATAGACACATACAATTTGCATACACATACAAATGTAACTGAGTCATACAAATGTACAAATATACATATATTGTTAGGAGTTGCCAATTATACAAATCGAGCTACATATGAATTGCCTTGTTACAAAATGTACTTTTGTATATTCATGTTATTTGCACATACATCTTAATTGTTTCGGATCTTTACTTCCCCTCATCATTCTCCATTGACATACTTATCTTAATCATACATTACTGTGAGTGTTGTCAAACCATTCGGTTGTATGGATGTTCGAAAGAAAAGCTGATAAATTGTACTCGTATGCATTCATTTTTTTTCACTAAATAAAAGTAACACATAATGCTTCACTGTGAGCTGATGTTTAGTGGGTAGAACACTGATAATGTCAAAGAAGAGCGCTGTGTAGCGCGGCTCCCTCAGTTCAACATTTTATGACGACGTAAAACTTTACTGCTTCTCAGTGCGTAAACAGTGCATTCATTTACTCTTCATTCCGGACACTGAGCACTGTATAGTTGGGTTTTAACCCAAGTTATACTGTATAGGAAGTACGACTAAATCACAGATGAGAATTAACCTCGTTTGAATGTTAAAGTAAAATGTACTATTAAATAAAGATATACTACAGTTATCAAAATTGCTACAGATTTGACATATTTACTACCTTTTTCAAAGGAGATATTCTGCAAAAAATATATGTTGCCATGCATTTTACGGATGTGTTGCCATTCAAGATAATACTGTTAAAAAACAAAAGGAAAAGGAAAACAATAAAACTGCAAGAGCACAGCATCAATACGAATTTCCAATATACGGGCTGCAAAACAGATAAAAAAAGGTTGTCAGGAAAAGTTACTCTCAGCCAGAAAAAAACCCTGTTTTATACAGAAGGGAGCAAAAACCTGAGTCGAACTCTCTCATGCGATTATAACCGATGCAGTGGCCATTTACCTGTACCTTAAAATATGTGTTTGCTGTCGTTAATTGTTTTTCTTTTTCTTATTAAAATTTGAACATTAGAAAACTCAAGCTTTCAAATCTATCTCAGTGTCTACGAAAAACTTTTAAGAATTCACTGACACTTATCCAACTATGGTCAAAGTCACACTACAAGATGTCATGGAAGATCGCCAGGAGCTAGTAGCCACCGTTTATGTTAAGGAAGGGGGCTTGGCACTGAATCTACCTTATCCTTTCATTTTCTCCTTTGTCACCTTTTTGTGATGTCAATGTCTATCGTGTGGTAATCGTTTTTAAATGTTCACATTAAGCTTTGATGGATGCTCTCGTAGTGGTATCATGTTCCTTAAACCAGGTGTTATCGTGTTTTTCTGTCTCTCTTATTTAGTCTGTTTCAATCGTCAAATTCGATCCCGCCCTCTCCCCGACACTCCTCCTTCTGTGTGGGGTCTTATGGATTGACTAACTGTAATCTGGTGTTATTTTTTGGTTTATGATAGGCATTGATTTCCTGGAATTTTATTTTATGATTCTTTGAAATTTTTTGGTGAGTTTCATTTTCTTCTGAAACACCTTAAACATACAGGAGAGGAATGCCTGATCTCTTCCGAACAAAATTTCCTTTCTGCACTGCAAAGGCAGAGGGAGCTCTCTTTGGAGTTTTAAATGCCAAGGGCTGGTACACTGTAATTATGTATTGTATCAACTCCTTCTCCATTTCTTCATACTCCGTTACAAGATTCGCTTTCCGGTGTAATAAGGTTCTCATAACTAGACATTTTGCTCAGATCATGATAGATTACTAATCACATTTTTGTGACTCAATATGACTAGTAGGAATATATTTACCGATGCTGCCGTTGTTAATTTTTGTATCAGAAGCTAAAGAAAAATCCGTTAATTACACTAAGGTAAACGTTTCTCAGTATGTACTTTGTGCGCTACTCTGAGGAATTTTCGTGTTAAGGATTGGCTGTGTAGGTTTTTTTGTAATGATAGATGAAAGAAAGTGGGCCTCTTGCGAATTAAGCGAACTGTGATTTAGTACATGTGTAAGTTTTACTCGTGATTGGATT